GACATTCTGCTGTCTGGAGGAAAGAGAGAAAAGATTCTAGGCAAGCATGGCTGCCACCAGAATGAGTGGAGAATTCCAGAAAAGAGAAACAGAGAAAAGGATGCCTTAATTCTGTGAATGAACACCACATACTTCTCACACTGATCCTTCCCTGAATGATATACATGCAGAACAGACTCAAACTAGCACAGAAAAGTCTGAAAGAATTGAACTGACACTTGAGTACTGCCCACAGGTGGCAGCCAGGTAAAACAAAACAGCAACATTCCTCAGGGGAATATCACAGAACTCTGGGCCTACACAATGCAACATTCACAATATCCAAGATACAATCCAAAATGACTCACTGTACAAAGAACCAGGAGGCTATTCCCTTTTCCCTTTTCAAGGGAAAAGGCACTAAATAGAGGACAACCTCAAAATAACATATTGAAATGTTCAGACATAACCAATGGAACAGAATACAGAAATAGAACCACATATATATGTTCAGTGGATTTTTAACAATAAAGCCAAGGTATTTCAATGGTGAAAGGATATTCTTTTTCAACACAGGTTGCTGAAACAGCTGGATATCTATATGGAAAAAAAAAAATCTTGACCCTTACATCATACAGTATTGATACAAGAATCAACTCTGAATGGATCCCAGACCTAAACATAACTGAAAATTACGACGCAGCCACTTTTTGGAGAACAGTTTTAACTTCAAAAGGTTAAAACATAAGAGTTACCATATGACCCAGTAATTCCACTTTTATGTAATATCTAAGAGAAATGAAACATATATCCACATAATAAACTGTACACACATAACTCAAAACAGCATCATTCATAACAGCCAAAAGTAGAAATAACCCAAATGTCCATCAACTGAAGAAGAGAGAAATTAAATGTGGTGTATCCAGACAACGGAATGTTACTTGGCTGATACATGCTACATGGATAAACCCTAGAACACATATGATTTCATTTATACGGAATGTCCAGAATAGGCAAATCTATAGAGACAGAAAGATTTGTAGGGAGCAGATGGGAGGTTTGGAGGATGGTGGCTAAAGGGTATAGCCTTTCCAAGGTGATGAAAATGTTCTAAAACTGACTGTGGTAATGGTTGCACTACTCTGTGAACAAACTAAGAACCACAGTGCTCGCTTCAGCAGCACATATACAAACTAAGAACCACAGAATTATATACACTTAAGATGTACAATTGCTGGTACATGAATCACATTTCAATAAAGTTATTATAAAAACAGAGAGTTAAAACTATAAAACTTTTGGGGCACCTGGGTGGCTCAGTCATTAAGCATCTGCCTTCAGCTCGGGTCATGATCTCAGGGTCCTGGGATCGAGCCCCGCATCAGGCTCCCTGCTCGGCGGGAAGCCTGCTTCTCCCTCTCCCACTCCCCCTGCTTGTGTTCCCTCTCTCGCTGTGTCTCTCTCTGTCAAATAAATAAATAAAATATTTTAAAAAAAAACAACTATAAAACTTTTACAAGAAAACAAAAGATTTGTGTCCTTGGGTTAGGCAGATGTCTTAGAATATGAATTATCCATAAATGAAAACAGATAAACTGGACTTCATCAAAATTCAAGACTTCTGTTCTTTGAAAGACATTGTTAAAAATAAAATAAAAAGGATGTCCTTCAACATATGAATGGATAAAGAAGATGTAGTTCATATATGCAATGGAATATTACTCAGCCATCAGAAAGGATGAATACCCACCATTTGCATTGACATGATGGAACCGGAGGAGATTATCCTAAGTGAAGTAAGTCAAGCAGAGAAAGACAATTATCATATGGTTTCACTCATATGTGGAACATAAGGAATAGCGTGAGGTCCACAGGGGAAGGGAGGGAAAACTGAATGGGAAGAAATCAGAGAGGGAGACAAACCATGAGAGACTCTGGACTCCGGGAACCAAACTGAGGGTTACAGAAGGGAGGGAGTGGGGAGATGGGGTAACTGGGTGATGAGTATTAAGGAGGGCACATGTGGTGATGAGCACTAGGTATTATACATAACTAATGAATCGTTCAACACTATCATCAAAAACTAATGATGTACTAAATGCTGGCTAATTGAACAGAATAAAAAAATAAATAAAAGATTTTTTAAAAAGGCAAGCCACAGCCTGGGAAAAATACTTTACAAAACACCTCTCTGATAAAGGACTCCAAATACATAAAGAACGCTTAACAACAAAATAAAAAGATAAATAATTTAAGTTTTAAAATGGGAGGGGCGCCTGGGTGGCTCAGGTCATGATCCCAGGGTCCTGGGATAGAGCCCTGTGATCAGCTCCATGCTCAGCAAGGAGTCTGCTTCTCCCTCTTCCTCTGCCCCTGCCCCTGCCCCCAATCGTTCTTTCATGCTCTCTCTCTCTCTCAAAAAAATAAAATCTTTTTAAAAAAAAAGTTGAACTCTTCACAAATGAAAATATAAGAATGGCCACTAAGTACATGAAAATAAACTCTGGGGCGCCTGGGTGGTTCAGTGGTTTAAGCGTCTGCCTTCAGCTCAGGTCATGATCCCGGGGTCCCGGGATCAAGCCCCACAATGGGCTCCCTGCTCAGCAGGGGAGTCTGCTTCTCCCTCTCCCTCCCCTCGCTCATGCTCTCTCTCTTGCTCCTCTCTCTCAAATAAATAAATAAAATCTTAAAAAAAAAAAAAAGGTTAGGGGCACCTGGGTGGCCCAGACAGTTAAGCATCTGACTTCGACTCAGGTCGTGATCCTGGGGTCCTGGGATTGAGCCCTGCATGGGGCCACTGCCTGGCGGGGAGTCTGCTTGTTCTTCTCCCTGTCTCTCTCTCTCTCGGCCCCTCCCCCACCACTTGTGCTCACTCCTTCTCAAACAGATAAATAAAACCTTAAAAAAAAAAAGGTTAAACTTTCATTTACTATATCACCTTGCAATTCCACTTCCAGCTACTCAAGAGAAATGAAAACATACATCTACGTAAAGCCCACACATTAATGTTATTTCATGGTTTAGTCATAATAGCCCCAAACTGGAAACAACCCAAACATGCATCAACAAGCCACTGGATAAACAAATTGCAGTAAATTTATCCAATTAAAAATTAAATGCAATTAAAAGGAACAAATTACTAATATATGCAACACGTATCAATCTTAAAAAGACTATACTAAATGAACAAAGCCAGACACCAAAAACTATTTATTATATGATTCTGTTGATTTGACATTCTAGAAAAGGCAAAATATACTAACAGGAAGCTGATCAGTGGTCGACAGGGGTGGTGTTATGAGGAGAGGACTGACTGCAAAGGGTCATGAGGGAACTTTCTGGGGTGGTGAAAATGTTCTGTATCTTGATTGGATGATGGTGATTATAAAACTATGTACATTTATCCAAACTCATGAAACTGGACACTTGACGTGGGTGAATGTTAATGTAGGTAAATTATGCTCAATAATGTTAATTTTCTTAAAAGGGATAATTAGTAGTTTCATTCCTGTTCTATTTATTTTTTTTATTCTTATGTTAATCCCCATACATTACATCATTAGTTTTAGATGAAGTGTTCCATGATTCATTGTTTGTGCATAACACCCAGTGCTCCATGCAGAATGTGCCCTCCTCAATACCCACCACCAGGCTAACCCATCCTCCCACACCCCTCCCCTCTAGAACCCTCAGTTTGTTTTTCAGAGTCCATCGTCTCTCATGGTTCGTCTACCCCTCCGATTTCCCCCGCTTCATTCTTCCCCTCAGTTTCATTCCTTTTCTAAAGTCTACAGAGGCTCCCAAGGTCTCAGGTAATTCCCAAAAGGTCTCAACATTCAATCTGCTCTACTTTTAGGAGCTGACCTTGATTTCTACTTTTTACATGCCTTGTGATTCAAAGTATAGCACCTCCGAAACACAAAACTCTAAACTTTGTGTATATGGCTTTGAGAATCCACAGACCAAGCTGACATAAACTGTGCTATGTGCTATCATCACCAGCTAAATTAAAGATGCAGTCAAACATTATTTGATCCTTCTGAACTTTTCTGGCTTCTCTGCTTGCTTTTCTCATCTCTCCACTAAAAAGAATTTACCATAAATGTCCTGTGGCTCATTCCTATACAGGGAACAAATCCCAATTTCAGAGACTGCAACCTTGAAACACCTGTAGTTCACCTTGAAACACATGTAGTCTGTTTGCCAGTATCTAACAGAACTCACTGCACTTTCTACAAAGAATAATGAATTTCTCATTATATCAACACTCCCCAAATAATCAAAGGCAAATAAAGCATACCTCAATCAAGAGAAAAAATAAGTAGATTGGCTACCAGCAGCTATTAGGTTTTGAGGAACAAGCAAAGGTACTCAAAAAAGGGGCTGGCACATATTATCCAGAACTCAGGGTGGGCTTTCCTGCACATCTACAACAGCAACAGGTTGGAAATGTATAGAATAGTTACTGTAGTCAGAGTATAATTAGGACCTTGCAGAAAACCCAAGTTAATCATTCACATAGATATCTCCAAAGAAAACGAAAAAGAACAAGATGTGGAGAGAAGTGTAGGGCACTTGTAGGTTCTGATGTGGACAAAATCTGTATTACCGAGATGTTTTGGAAGATACCACCTTTTGAAATTAATCTTGCTCTATAGCTCTACGGAGTCAATAGTAAGTGAGAGACTGCTATTAACAAAGAGATATGGCAACCAATAAAACAACAAACAAATAAACAAAACCAACTTACACATGTTTACAACAGACCAGAATGCAAACTTAAAACTGTCTGGAAAGAAAATGGAATTATACTTAAGCAGAAATCCTCTTTATTACTGTACTTCACCCCCTGCAAAAAATCATGGTCACTGTCTTTTATATATGTGTGAACCCATCTTCCTGGTAGACAAACTGATCTAGGTTGCGGTGATTACTTCTAGTGCTCTTGTATCATGTATGACGAGACTGGGGGGAAATAAAAGCTAAATGTTTTGAGGATTGAGTTGGCTGACACTCACCACAAACTTCTCACCATTCTGCTCCACATGTTTGTATGTGGGGACCGATATGGGCACTGCTTGCTTTTCTGTGTAATCATAAAATGATTGTCCCAACGAGTCGTCACTGGGATCTAGGTTATCTGCCTCATGTGGAGGTACAGATAACACTGTCAAGATCAATTCCTTCTCGCCTGCTCGGATCAGGTCCACCACCTGCTTGTGTGTCGCCCCCTCAACATTCACGCCGTTCCTAAGGGGAAAAAGGGAAAAAGAAATCCCATAAACCAGAAGGGTCCAAACACCTTATATCTCCACCCTCCTGCCCCCACTCCAGTGTTACGCAGTATGAACCATAAAATCAAGATTAATTTGGTTCCAGAAAAGCTGTTTACATTTTTATAGATCATAATGTGTAGAAGTATTTATGAACTTATGGCAGGGAGGAAAAATGGAAACAGGTGAGAGGACCTGCCCTTCCTCTATGCTAGAATCCCACATATAGCTTCAGGAAAGCACATGGTGAAGCTGCAGAGGAAACAAAGCTTTCAAAGCTAATTTCCTCATCCTAACCAAGGATGTATACAATACAATCAAAGTGCCTTTTAATAATGCTGCCATTTGAACTCTACTTAGTTCTTTTTAAACCTCCTAAAATTTCTGTTAGAAGAAATTTTTTACAAAATGCATTCCTTTAATTTGTAAAGATTCAAAAGTATGACTTAAGATAATTTTTATATTTATATCTGATTTCACCCTGTATCTCCAAATCAGTCAATTTAATTTTCCTTTATACCAAGTTTCATCACCTTGGGAGTTAAGTGGTATATATCCTCATACAAATAATTTATCACTTGGTTTTTAAAAAGGCAATTTTGAAATTTTATTATCTGAACCAACTTCCCTTGTCCTCCCAATTACATTAATCTCTCTTAGCATTCTATCTACTCTTCTTTCTGCTCTGTGCTATCTCACTTAAAGCCCTGGGTCATCAGTTCAAACTAAAAAAACCTACATCTAAAGTTATATAGTAAATCAACCTACTCATTCTCCTCCCTGTTACAATGGATACAAAGGCTGCAACTAGGAAAAGTAAAAGGTTTGGAAGAACAATAATTTTGTCAAGAAAGATGCTGAGTCTCACAAAACTCACTCAGCAAACTGAACTACCTTCCTACAATGCTGACCCTGCGCCTGCTGTCTCAGCAAAAACCACTAGGCAGCTAGCTGACCTGGAGGTTCCCTCCATAGCTATCCCCCCCAAGAGTTAGGAAACATACACCTGGCCTTTAGTCAGTGTGATAAAAGCTTATCTACTACCCTTTAGAGTTAAGCTCTTTTTCAGTTTCAAACCATTAGGATTTTTCCTTCCTGAAAATGATGCTAAGCTTAGTAACAAGCCTTCCACAAACTTTTCAGACACTGCAACTGTCTCTGTCAAACTCTGGTATCTGAAACATCCATTTATATAAACAGAACAGGCAGGAGATCACCCTGCTAAGCCTCCTTCCTTTTGGGTTTAACAATCTAATCAGTAAATTCAGCACTCTAGACATTTGACAACCTAAAGTCTAACTTATATACACACAAAAAATTCAGTAATTTTACAATTGGCCAGCTATAGAAAAAAATAAAAGCACCCCTTCCACCGATAGAAATTTGGGCTTTTAAAATTTGGATCAGATCAAACTAGTAATCAGAAAAAAATAATCAACTCTGATCACAGAGCCAGACGATAAAACAGAGAGAAAAATGGGCTTTGAAGCTATGGATTCAAATCTTGGCCCTGCCTTTAGTACAGGCACTGGTCTTAACTAAGCATTTAACCTTTCTTAGCATTATTTTGTGCATGTGTAAAATAGGGATAATAATAATAAGCCCCTAAAAGGATTGTTGTGAGGATTAATGTAATGAAACATGTAACTCGCTGGGAAAAATACCTGAACACTCGCATTACAAGGCATAGTAAGTATTGTGTAGCTGTTGAAGAAATGTTGGTTGAAGAAGAAATGGAAACCTCAAGTTGGGGACTGTCAAAGGATTTCATCTAAATCTTTAGCCTTATTAGTAGTTCTGAGAAAATGTTTTGCTGGTAGAAGAAATATAATTGAAAAAGCAAAAATTAAAAATCAACATGGAGAACTTCATCTACCCCTAGGAATCTTAACTTACTCATGAATGCCCTTAAAAAAAATTTTTTAACAAAATAGGGAAAACTCACTTTAGAGACTGAACATCTTGGATACTAAAACAAGATTTTTATGTTAGTATAATCAATTTTATGAAATGCACATTTATGAAAAAAAGTTTAACAACTATGCTCAAATCTTATTTTTCAGCTCCCCAATTTTTTCCCCTTTAAAGGATCTTTAATTTCGGGTATTCTGTCAATAGGCTGGGGGTTGGTAAACACCTATAGCATTTGTTTGTAAAACTGTATTTGTGCATATACGTATTTTTCACCCTTAGTATGGGGTCCACGGCTTCCACTCGTTTCAAAAGTTCTTAACCTCTGGTTAAGAACTACTGCTTTCAATGCACACTTCCTCCACCCATTCAGTTTTCAAGTTAGAATACACTGTTCCTGGGTCACTCAAAAAACAAGCCGCAAAAGTCATCAGAGAAACCTAAGTGGGGCTTACTCCAATAGCCAGGGAGCAAGGGAGCTTGCTCAGTTCCACTTCTTTATGAGAAGACCAAGCTTCAAATTGGCTATCACCCCAAAACCTCTTTTTTAAAAAAATAAATAAATAAAGACAGGAACGAACTACCAGTGTCACATTCTAAACACACTTGCTAATGTTTATTTAGTTCAACTACAAAAGGAATGCTATACATTCCACAATTTAATACAAGGCTGGAAATTCCTTCATTCTTCAGAGAATGAAATGAGGTCAGTAAAAACCCCAGGACGTTTAATTTCAAAAAGGGCCCTCCCTCCTCAAGAATTAAGAGGCCTTCACAATCATAAAAATGTTTATATGATATCCTCTTTTCCACATGAATGCCACTCTCCCAAGCTCAAATTAAGTGTGGCCCAATTTGGACAATTCTAAAGACATAAAAGAATACTATAAATTCTGCAATAAAGGAAACTTCCAGCAGTAGACTTCTGGTTCAAAGCATGGGTTTTAGAGTCAGACAGACTTGGGTTTGAGTACCACCTGTGCCATTTAACAGATGAGACATTGATAAATTATTCAATCTCACTAAACCTCAGTTTCCTAATCCATAAAATGGTGCTAATAATACCTATAGCTAACAGAATGAGAACTAAAATGAGATAAAGCTCTAGAACATGGTAACCACTCAATAAATGATAGCTATTCGTGTGACAGTATTTTTATCAGCTGGGCAAGCAGGTTAGTAGCATGTTGGCCTCCTGATGACACAAATCCTTCCTATCACCAATCTCCCTTGTCTTTCTTTTGTCTTTGTAATATAATCTAGCTGGAATTCATTTGAAAAAAAAAATGATTGAGCTCTCAACCTACGCCGACCCATCACAAAAAGGGAATCCCCTTCATAAGACCACTGCATCAGAGAACCACCTAGTCCTACACCACACAAAAGTAACTACTGCCCAATGGGTCCTACTCATCTATGTTCTTCCATAAAGAAAGGGAATGACTTAAACACACTATCAAAACATTTTCAGCAGATATGTGATTAAACAAATACAGCAAGATGTTAATTATAAAATCTAGGTGGTAGGTATGCAGGTATTCACTGGGCATTTCCTTCAACTTTTCTGTATGTTTGAAATTTTTCATAATAAAATGTGAGGAAAAAAAAGGCGGCTAGTAAAAAACCCAACAATCCACAAGTAAGACCAAAATTTTGTTTCTTTAGGTAACTAGAGGATACCTAAAACTTACTTTGTGTTTTCAGCATTATAAAAATATACCTAACAATTTTAATAAAATTCTCATTTTTTACATAAGACCAAAATCTGGTCCAATCAGAGGCCTTTAGCTAGCTAGCAGAGGTGGCTTTAGACAAGACTTTTGTTCAACTAAAGTTAGCCAGCTGGGGAAATGGTAAAGCTAATATAAACACTCTGAAAAGCAGGGCGGAAAAAAGCTCTAAATTGTCAGGATCTGTATACTGTAAAGGAAGCTGTATATACTGAAACTAAATATGGATGGAAATATGACAAGAGCCAATCACTAAATGTACCACAGCAAGGAGCCATTCTGTGTGGTAAGCAGAATACTATCTTGGCCCCCTGTGACATTCAAGAAAGCAATTAAAGGACAATTAATCCCTCAGAGGTAGCCTGTAAAAAAACAGACAATAAATTCCTATAACTGCAAGCAATATGATATAAATTTCAATTATGTCAATTAAAACAAAGTGGCTACATGCCCACAAGAATGGTTTAAATAAAAAAAGAGGACAAAACCAAGTTTTGCCAAAGATGTAGAACTGGAATTCTCATACATTGCTGATGAGAGCATAAAGCAAAAACAATCTGGCAATTTCTTATAAAATTAAACGTACATTTACCTAATAACGCCATTCCTAGGTATTTATCCAAGAGAAATGAAAATATACCCACACAAACAATTGCAGTTGAATGTTCACTGAGGCTTTATTCATAACAGTCCAAAGCTAAAAACAGCCCAGTATCTATCAAAAGGTGAACAGATAAAAAAAAAATTGTGGCATATTCATGCAAGGGACTATTACTCGGCAGTAAAAAGGACCAAAGTACTGATATCCACAACAACATGGATGAATCTCAAAAACACAATGAGCAAAAGAAGTGAGACAGAAAAGGGTCTGATTGATTTGATTCTATCTACTTGAAGTACTAGAATAGGTAAAACTATTCTACAGTGGTAAAAATCAGATCAGTGGCTGTCTGCGGGGGCAGGGGTAAATACTGAATGCAAAGGAACACAAGGAAGCTTTCAGAAATGATGGAAGTGTTCTATATCTTGATTGGGGTGGTGGTTAAATGGGTCTAAACCTTTGTCAAAACTCAAACTCTGCACTTAAGCTGTGTGCATCTGACCATATGTAAATTAAACCTCAATAAAGTTGACTGGCTCAGTAGGTGGGGCATGTGACTCTTGATCTCAGGGTTGTGAGTTCAAGCCCCATGTTGGATATAGATACTTTAAAATCTTTAAAAAAAAAAAATCTTTAAGCATGTGATTCTTGATCTCAGGATCATGAGTTCAAGCCCCACACTGGGTGTAGAGATAACTTAAAAATTAAATCTTAAAAAAATAAAAATTATTATAT